GCGGCGGCGGCCAGCTCGTGGACGGCGGTGTATCTGTGGTGGTGGGCGCGCCCGGCCAAGGCACAGTGCTCGTTCTCGCCGATCACGTTGTCGATGAATTGGGACAAGTTATCACAATACCCAGGTAATTTATTGCACTTTTACTCAGTATTTTGAACTTAAACTTACTATAGACATGTACTAAAAACTGCTAGCGCCGTAAAATCGTGTCAATTTAATAAAAATTTCGAATACGTATCTATGCGTATGTTATTAAGCTGCCTTCAAGTTTATCGCCTCCGCATAATTTATGATACATATTATGCCGACAAAAAATAGTGGTATCAGATATCTACAGCTTTATGATTGGAATTTCCATTAGGAACATTTAAAACTTGTCGAAATCCAAGTATGTTTTTGAATTTCTGCATGGTAACAAAAATAATCTAATCTAATCTAACTATTATAACTAATATTATAAATGTGAAAGTTTAGATGGATGGATGGATGAATGGATGGATGAATGGATGGATGGAAAGATTTTTGTTAGAGTTTGTAGCCTAAACGATTTAACGGATTTCGGTGAAATTTGGTACAGATGTAGAGGATAGCCCGGAAGAACACATAGGCTACTAGCTTTTGTTTTTTTTTTAATTCGACGCGGACGGAGTCGCGGGCAACAGCTAGTCATCTAATAAACTCATTATTGTCTTCCGACAATGTAATTGAACAGTTTAATTTACGTTTTGAAATTTTTACTACAAGTTAACGATAGGACGTACAATTTAGACAGCAGTGCAACGAGCTGGTTATATGTATTTAGCGTGGTGATGATAAAACGTCTAGTCGATACTTAATCGGAGGCGAGTATTAATTTGGTACTGCGTTGGCACCTCATCGGATCGGTTTGCATTGTTAGAAACAATGGATTGTTTGTGCAAGCGAGCGTTGTGCGTGGATGCGCGAGCGAGGAGGTCCAGCCAGGGCGCGCAGGGTAACGGTCGCGAGGCGCGCTAGGAGCGGCTGAGCCGAGTGGCCCGTGTGGGCGGAGCGACGGGTTTACCTTGAACTTGCCGCGAGAGCGTCCGCGTCGGCAACGATCACACTCTGATGCTGCGCCGTTCGCCCAATAAATATGCTCACAATTTATGATTATGATATTCATAGTCCGTCGAACTTGTTCGTGTAGACATGGTTCATTTAACATTGTTTAAAAACATCACAAAGTTGTCGAGCGTTGTTGTAATAAAAAATTAGAAGATTTGTATCTGTTAACGAGTTTTATCCACATTTGACTTTTTAACGTTCTTTTGAATTATTAAGATTACCACTTTAATTTACTAACTAAACTATTATATTTTAATTATTTTGATATAGCGTATATTTGATGTTGCCTATATTGACCTCCGCGGACAATGATGATCTAACGTCTGCTATTTTTAGGAATTGACGGCAAATGACGAGAAGTTTAACGTATTCAGCGCTGCTTCGCGTTACTCACGACGACACGTTCTCGTCTACTTGCTTATATTTAAGCTTAACATACTAGTTAAGAGCCATTAAACTAAACACAGCAAAAACACGTCATGTGCATGTCATTCATAATGCATGCTAGAGCGTCTCTCGATATTGCGACTACAAGTTAATGCAAAATTAAGATTTTATTGGTCATAGTTTCAAAATCAAATAAAACAATCGAATTGTAATGATTGGCTTGTGTTACTAATTAAAAGTTTACTAAAATGGTAATAAGATAGTGTATTTGTAGTTGTACATATCTTATAGGTATAGTAGGAGAGTGACACTATCGTAGTGTATCTTATTATAATAATTATGTGCCCTCGTATGTATGCAGTTTACAGAAACATTTTTTGTATATTGATAGGGCATGCCTTTTTATTATTTTTTCTCCAAGGTACTGATAAAAGTGTATATAAGGATATAAAAATAATGAAAAACGAGTAAAAATAAATAAGCTCGATATGGCTCGGTACCTACCAGTCCTGTGATAAAAACTCGGCTGAATCGTTTAGGTCGCGGCGAGAGGCTGCGGGCAGCGGGCCTCACCCGCCGCCGCCGCCGCGCCGCGCCTCCAACACTTTAATGACGACTTTTTGTTGCGCCGTGGTACACGCCTCAAGCGCTCACCGACTATTTTCTTTTTACCGAAATAATAACTCGTTGAATCTAACATTAAATGATATGTTTATATTGCTAAGTTTTGTTTTTCATGATTACCAAAAAATTTTAATAACATATAGAATTATTAATACCGCAATTAATGTAAATAAACACTAATAGCAAATTTAGGATTTATATTTTTAACTTAATAACTATGATATATCTAGGATTAAGTACGTTTCTCCCACAGTTTTAATATTAAAACCATTGGGCAGACCACTACTGGTATAGTGTCGCTGAATCTCTTGACTTGCGGCGAGTCCGCAAGGCGACAGCCTGCGCCCTGCCCCGCGCCCCCCCGCCTGCCCCTGCTCCGGCGCAGTCTTATTTTATTGCCTTATACTCGTTGCTGCGAGCCCTCGAGATGATCTTAGCATCGCTTGCGTTCTCGCCCAAATCATTATTTAATGTATAATTATTTGCCCGGTAAATAATTTTGGGGAGTCATAACAGTTATGTAGACATTTTATAAGGTCCTTTTCATTTTGGCGAGAATTAAAGTAAGATTTCACATTCTTCGTAAAACGTTTACGATTCCACAAGAGGCATTTCGAGGACCCTAAAATTATCCTCTCACTTTAACAACGAGAGACGACTGCGTTCTAAAAATTATAACATTGTAATCCTTTTCCCATGAACGAATAATAAAAACATTTGCAAGACATAAACACAAATTTAAAATAATCATAATGGGAACAAAATAACTAAAAATAGGGTCAACAAACTCGAGAAGGCGGGAGGCATTAAAGCCCAAAGTAAAAGACATCAACGGGATCTCGGTTACTCCTGTAGCGACTTGCAGGCTGATGACGTCATTTTGAAATTAACGACTTCTGATAAAAAAAATAAGGATTTTGATCGAGTAAAACGAGTTTCTTACGTATTTTAATATTTTGCACATCACTAAAAAGTGTATGCTTCTGCTTTTAATCAAAGTTATCTCAGTATAAACAGTGACCGCACGTAAAAAATACAAAGATCAGTGTGTCCTTTAAAAATTAACGATCATCCTTTCTACCTGTTGCCGCTGTCCGAGCGCAAATAAAAAACGGTTTCCCCCACGTAAAGGGTTCACTTCCCATTCTGTACAGAAACACACACATATACATACGCCCACACACTCGTACGTATATACCTCTGTGTGCCTTGCCTGAGCCACACTGATACATCGACGTAACATGGCTTCGATGCGGCAATGTCCGACAGAAATCTCTACGGGGGATAAAATTTCTTTCGAGCAAGATGATAATAACATGGATCTGACGTTTTACCAAAAAAAAATATCATAGTATCGAAATATTTACTTACCTGTGTTATAAATATTTGTAGTTAACTTATATTAATTTAGTAGCCAGTTTTAATATTTGTTATGCCAGCTTTCGTGCAATTTTATATTTACTTAAAACGAAGGGCCTTTATGCAATTATTATTAAAGGCAGGTTCACCACAGAGGTCGAGCTTTCGCATATTTTTTATCTGGTATCGGAAACGCTATGAACAGATCCCTTGAACACCAAGGAGTAGGCAGGTCTTCCCTTTTTTTGTAAGTGAACAACCACAAGAGCAAATCCATTATAGGGTTTTATTATCTTACATCGAGGCTCGGAATTGTAAGACATCACCATTTTATAGGACGGTTCCTTCATATGTTTTCAATTAAAAAGGGTTTCTATTGAGCATTAAAATAAGATTGAAAATGAAAGTAGCAGATGATATGTGGGTATTCATTATTCATAGAGATACGCAACTTTTTGTGACGTTTGGGGATTTCTTTGTGGCGAGATTATGTTTAGAATTTTTCCTAGTGGCCAGTATGATAGCTGCGATACACGAATTATTAGTTTTTTATAATTAAAATTATATTACTCAACTCATATGAAGGCCGTGATAGTTTCAGTCGTTTAAATTTTTACGAGTAAAGTTTGTAAAATCGAAAATTAAGAAGATTTTCCTTATTTCATACGGAAGTATAAGCAAGAGAAGCATAAAGCATTTTATAAAGAAATCTTAAGCTGTAAGACACAAATGTTTTTCAATTTTGGCAAAACGATCTTGAATTGGTCAATTTGATTTAATACTTAGCCTCGTACAATAAACTAACAGTTAACGAACACAGCGAGGCGATGCAAGGTCATGGATAAGATACTTTTCCTGTGTTGTTGTTTTAAATATTAAATTATGTGAATTTTGTATTGTTGCTGCACCATTGTATTTTTTTACATCCATGACTGTATCTAAAACTTTAAATAACATCTCACTCATTCTCTTTGGAAAACCTGAGATAACAACATTACAATTACGGCAGAGGATTTTTTCAGATATGTTAACAATTATTAGTTTTCCGTTTTAATTTACATGTAAATTAGTCGCATGAACGTTGTTAATAAAGCTGTATAAAATTGTAACGTATCTAATTATTTAGGTAAGCAAGTTAGTAGATTTTAAAGTTCAAGGTACGAGTAAAAAGATTACGGAAGGAAAATATAAAAAGTCAAAATGCTAAGTTATGCATAGTTGAAGTCGAATGTAGACTAGCTTCTGTCTAATTTTATAAACTAACCGTTACCGCAACGACGACTTAAATTATACAAGAAAGATAAACTTAATTTAAAAAAACAATACGCATTTAAAATTATTTTTAATCGTTAACCTTGTTGTGTATTACAGTTTTAATGTTTTATTTAATAAAAATACTTTTTAAATGTAAACGTAAATGTCAAACGGGTAAATTTTTTGAAGGCCACGTAAAAATTAAATAACTTAAATATAGAACACATTTATTGGTTTCTTTAACGTTTATCTTATGACACAATTAATCAATTATTTTACTTAAATGTTTCTACTTAGAATAAACCCTACCTTTTTTTTAAAGGACACAATTAGTTATTACTAATGAAAGGCAATATTAGACGCAGCGCATTCCTTCTCAATATTCATTTAGATTTGACGATAGAAGACGGTAGA